ATCATTAGAAGAGTATATTTTTCCTCAATCTCTACAAATCAACTCCAGAATGCCTGACAAAAATTTTCAGACACCAAGGATGCCTGCTTGAGAACCTATCTGCCATATGCCTACAGCAGCAGCTGTGACTTGTTACCAGCAGATGAGATCCCTCCACTGTGCCTGTTTTCATTAAACATCCCATACCTTAAGCAATCCACAAAAGAACCTTCCAATATTACCAAGCCACAGTGACTGTTAAAATCCAAACAGGTTATTTTCAATCCTAACCTGAGGATCCACTGGCACTCTTACCTTTCAAGATAACATAGACTATGCAGGCACATTTCCATGTGAATATGGTTTATGGCAAATCAGAATACAGAACAATCTCAGATGAATTGTAACTTATCTAGCTTTTTAAAAGAATAAGCTAGCTGGGCTCTCTGCTGGTGATGAATATCTAAATGCTGTCTTGCAGCTACTAGCTTGAGCCTCTCCTTCATTCTCATTTGCTTTTATTTATATATTATTGATTTACAGACAGGATTATCAAATAACTTCAAAACAAACAAACAAAAAATCCCAGAAAAACCACAAAACTAGAAAAGTCTTCAGGCACAGAATAGCTTAGCTTTATATTTGAATTATCCAAGACAGCAGCTGCCAACCTTCTTTGCATTTGTTACATTTCAGAATGAGTACAAGAATTCCTGTCACACAAAATACTCTTAGATCTATAGCTCACCTTTCATGCCATGCATTATACAGCAGACTCTTTTTCCTCACCACAAAAAAAGAAGTAATTTATGGAGTGGACCACCAATAAGTAATTAATATATTGTTGGTAAGATGCATTTGTGTAAGACATTCCAAACATAAAAAAGTGAAAAAGCAGGAGTTAAAGACAAAACATATTCAATCAAGATATGCTGACAACCACAATCTATTCTTGACTCATTCATTTCAAAAAGCTGCTTGTGAGTTTGACCTAGAGCACAATAAACCGCCTATCCAGTAATTGAAAGTAAATATTAAAAGGGAAAAATTTTCAAATTCATTTAAAGACTGACAAAATTAAACAAAGGTATCTCAGAGGAAAAGACAAAAGTGTATTAGGGTTATTTCAGAAGTTGCAGTCTGTTTCAATATTAAGTGGAATCTTATCATTAAACCACCACCACAAAAAGCAACTTAAAAGACCAACTGATGCCAAGTTTCACTTGAAAATATTCTGTAACAAGAAGAGTATGAAACAAAGAATACATAAGGCTAGCAAAGGGATCACTCTAGGGAATTATCAATATGAAACATCTTTAACTTTTCCCTTCTCTCACCAAGAACCCTGTCCTGGCTGACTGCACTATGGGCAATGCTGCAAGCACAGTTATACTGCGTCTAGTCCTGAGTGTATGTACATGAGACTTACTGGCATACATCCGTACAACAGACAATATGGATAGATATACTGCTCAGAACATAACACCACATGAAAACAAAGCATTTAGGTCAAATGAATCCACTTGCATAGCAGGTGCTTTTAAAAACAAATCTTATTTTTCTTAAGATCATATTTAAGTGATAATAATAAAAACCGACAATAGTCTGTTCTCAAAGTAATCCCGCTCAGTTACGGTTTTGGTGGAGTTTTTGAACTAGTAATTTGATGGTGACGTGCCCACTTCTTTGGAAAGCATTCTGCATTCCCAAATGAATTCAAGTAATCAGATTTTGCAGTTTCTAACATTTATCTTTAAGAATTCTTCTGCTATCTTCTATAATCCTACCCCTACTTCTCTCATTTCCACTGAAGAACTTTTGGCAGGACCGTTCAAATGGATACCATCTGCAATTAGATATGATCTGAGCAGCACCGGCCTTCTGCCAAACTATCAGCCCCTTGATGCAGTCAGCACATGTGACTTCAGCTGGACTGCAGAATTTCACTTTTGCAACATATTTTTTAAAAACCAAGACTGACAATTCTTTAAGGGCAAGATAATGTATTAGTGCAGAGCAATACCTTTTTGCAATCATAAAGGAGAAAAAAACCACCACTCTTGTCATCTTAGTATACTAAACAAAAAAAGACAATGTTTCAACTACTGATTTCAAAATTCCTGTACTTTGCATCTGTCTAACAGAAAGACAAGAGTCCCAATTACTCACAGTAAGTGCTCTTAACATTGTCAGTTCAAGACCCTTGTAAGAACTCTTTTTCTGAGATTGACATATATAGAACTGTATTGAAATGTCATTTTTAAACACTGAGAAATCATAAAGATGGAGATCTATGATGGATCTTGATTAAAGGCCTTTATCATCTATGATAAAAACCAGATTGGATAACAAGTTAATTCTGTAGGAAACCTCAAGTCCACAACAAAATACACTTGTTTTACTTCTAACGCAAAACTAAACTGCGTAACAAAATTGAGAATAAACTTTCTAATCCAGGAGGATGTTCTGTTTTGCTGGCAAACCCACCGTGAGCGACAGGCACTCCCCAAAGCTGTAAAAACCCATATTCACACAAAATCTGACCAACAAAAGCAGCATGTCAGACAACAACCCTGGTAGCATTCCAACTTCAAGAATATAATTCATTATGGTGTCAGAAAACCCATTGTTTTTCATACACTCATTAAAAGAGTATAAATGGAGTACACCTGTGATACACTTCATTATCTATATCTCTATGCTGTTTTCCTAAAATAATCCCAAGCACTTTGCCTCAGTTTCCACATAGTTTCTGCCTATTATCAGCCAACACATTTACAAAACTCAGACTTGGATGAAGTTTAAACCCAGGACCCACAAAGGACTCGTAGAATAGCTTGGCCAATGAATACATAAAAAATTAATGTCCAAGTAGCAGTCAAAATCCCTTCTTAGCTATCAGACTTCCCATTGTCTCACGAATCTTGTTCATCGTAATAGTCCATTAGGCTTTAATTCTAAGAGAAGAGAACTTTAACTATCTTAGAGGCTTAAAATAGTCACTACCCAACATATCACCAGCCTCTCAGATTTCTCTCCTGTCAACTTGATCACTGCACAAATGAAAAAATAACCTTCACAGCAGCCAGATATCTAAGCCCTGATCATTTCATCAACACATTTGAAGGTATGAAGCAAGAACTCCATAGGCTAAAATTACTACTGATTTCCTTTTATTTTGAAATTGCTGCACCAGATATGAGAGCCAACACATTAATGTCTCTTTCTGTAGCCAACAAGTTCAGGCTATAATAATAAGTTCAATAATGTAACTGTGAGGCTGCAAAGAATAAGGGATCATGAAAAAAAGAATTTCTGGCAGAAACAGCAACAGTACTCATGCCACCAAATCTAACATGTACCCTAAAAGCACACCAGAAGAATTTCAGCTTGAAGTTATGTGCATCAGACAACATTATGAAAATTCTTCGAAAATATTTCTGCTCAGTTGTTTTTTCCCCATGAAACAATGCCTTTTTCGTATCTTCTATTATATGAACCTCTTCTGTTCAACAAGTAAAATTACTCCTCTGGCTATTGCTTTCTTCTATATTTCTCCTCTAAGAAGAAAATACAGGGAAAAAATAGCCCATAGATTGTAAGAACTTTTCAAGTATTGCAACTGATTATTTATTTCCCACATTCTGTAATGGCCTCTGATGACTTCAACCTGACCATCTGTCCTATCACCCATCTTGTACCAGAGCCATAGGACTCAGACAGCTACAGACTAAAGCATTTCCAGAGCACAAAACACAGCAAAAGCTGTAAAGAAATTTTCAGCTAGATAAATCAGGAATATTTTTCTCCTTTTGAAAGCTGATTTAGCTTCTTGAAAATGTGTCTTTGTAGTGCAGCTCTAGCATTCAGAAAAAGAACCAGTGTCTTTGTCTACACCACATTTCAAACTTAGACAAATCACTGGAGATTCACTGGTCACCCTTGACATTGCATAACAAACAAGCCGTTTCCACAGGCTCCTGGAGTTCAAAAAATCTTAAGCATTTAAAATTATTGCTGTCATATCATGACAGCAGCAAGAAAACCTATTACAGTGGCACCCAGTGGTGCTGCTGCAGTTCAGAGCTTGTTGGCATTTCTATTAAAGACAAAAGAGGGAGGAGCCTGTATAAAACCTCCTTTTTACAAGTAAATACTCAAGTAATCAAACAGCACAGAAACTCAGTGCTCTTGGAGTATTACCTCCTACAGCTACAAATAAGACTGCTCTACTTGATCACCTAACAATGAAAAACTACCGTAAGAGTAGCAGTTTGTAGATATGGCCATTAGTCCATACATTACAAACAACCCTACAGCAAATTGCATCAATACTACCTCAACCATAAGAAGCATGTAAGAAGAAAAAAATTTAAAAAATAAGTCAATCAATGGCGTGCCCATATTCAATTTCCCATAGAAGAGTCTTCTCCTCCAAATTAGACCCACAATAATTAAAAGTCCTAACACTTCTAATCAATTAGAAAATAAGATGATTTTACATAGACTGTTATTTGCTGTTGTTTAGACATCTAGTCTGGAAAGATTAAAACTAGACATCCTCTTCCCCTCAGCTTTCTGACTCAAATTATGCTCCTAAACAAAGGCATAGACTGCAGAACAAGCACACCAAGAACTAAAGCACCAGACCCAAGCAGGAGTTACACACAACAATTATCATGTGGTCCCTGTATCTGTCATCCACATGATATTTCCACACCCTGAAGTTAAAAAGGTTTTCAATTTGGTATTCTCATCTTTCTGTAGAATTCTCTAATCACCAAGAGCAAACACCATAAACAACTGCATTAAAATCAAGGTACTTATGATTTAGCCTTTCTAGTCAAATTCAGAGACAATCTAGTTTGTAAGGACAGGTTCAGAAGGGAAGAAGATTCCCTAAAAGGGTAACTCCAGATGATATAACTGATACACAGTAATCAGTTTAGTCTGACAAAAAGGATTAAGAAGGAAGGGAGAGGAGAGAGAAAGACTCCATTATGAGATTAAAATAAACTTACTGGTTGAATTGCCTTGCATCTGGATGATACATTTGGATTCTTTGCTGGTTTCTCGGGAATTGAAGGGCCGGACCCGAACAGCCACCTTCACTGAAGCTCCCGACATTCTGGTTGCTTGTAGTGCAGTCAAGAAATTGAAAGTGAAGGGGTCAAGAGTGTTTCAAGTTATCCTTCTTGTTGAATCTAATGAAAAAATATAATTTAGTTATTTATAGCTATTACATTCAAGATATTGATAAAATCACAGAGGTTCAAAGTTGTCTGACAACTTCAATTTCTGCTCTGCAGTCACCCCCACAAGCTGTCACTTCAAAGACAGAACTGGAAATACACTTAAGAGCACCTGTACACTGTCTCCCTAGTCAAAAGCTTCTATCATCTGAAGCAATTCTTTTGAAGTGTACGAACAGATTTGCTTACATTATGTGGTTTTCCTCTCAAAAAGCAGGGTCGCCAATGCCAAAATGAAGATTTGGTTGCAACATGCGTTAGGTTTAACGTAACAAAGATCATTTTAGCAGTAAAGATATAGCTACTTAGATTTCAGTAGGAGCCAGCCACCACATACTATATGTCCAGGTTCTCTAATTGTTAATACTTGCTGCCATAATGTATTAGCAATAAGGTTAAAACTAATACAAGCGTGATGGGCCATATCACACTGGCTTTGAGTACACACCATTCCAGAGAACAAGCTGTACCAAACAACCTTAAAGAACCCTTAGCAGTCCTGGGGAAATCCTCTTCTCACAGGAAATAAAACCTCTTTGACTACTTGCATATCTAGTGATTAAAGGACATACTACACTAAGGAAAAGAGGAATGAAAAATTATTGCCTTTAGGGTGAATATTACAATCTATCTTCAGCAAATGTTCATCAGTAAATTCATCTTCATTATCAAATTACTTGTTCAAACGCTACCACATTCAAATAATGGAGCACTATAATTGGCAAGAAACTAGGATACCTGCAATCCAAACTTCAAGGCATGTCTGAGATAGTATTGAAATGTAGCATTAATAAAGATTGGTTCAATTGTATTGTCCTCAACCAACCTTTTCCATTAGAAGTGTTTCAGTGGGTCTACAATTAAGCAGTTTAACTCACTGTCACAGGATGCTGCGACTACTGAAGAGATTCAAAGAAAAGTCATCAAGGTCTAGTAAAAAACTACCACCCTTGGCCACAAAAGCCTCCATGCCACAGACTCTCAGAACCTGGAAGACTTTACTGAGAAAACATGATTACCTGGTTGATTTATCCCTATACTCTAAATCCCTGCTCCAGCCACTACTGAGGACAGGACTCAGGGCAAAGTGAACCTTTGGTCTGACTCCATGCAGTCGTTTCTATCAGCTCTACAGTAAGTTCTACAGCTGGTAAAAATACTTATACATGCTTAATTCAAGTTATGACACATCATCACACAGTACAAGAAGTTTTTATTAAAACTGCATTACTTTGTTAATGCCATCACATGGTAAAGGCAGAAATTAAATCACTCCACCAAGCAAAAGTAGTAATTTAAAGCATTCCTTATTTTAGCAGGTACCTGAGGTATCTCACCAAACTACAAGAACAGGAATGTCTTTAGGAACAAACCAACTAAATTTCAATGTCAGTGGCACAGCAAACTGGCACGATAATGATTCATGAGACAGACATACAGTCAATTTTACGTTAGTACAGAATATTAAGAAGTTTGACTAAAAATGTAAACATAAAATGGAGCAAAGAAGTAATGGGAATGATTTCGCATGATCTTTAAAGTTTAACAGATATTCTGGGTTGTTTTACAGGACTGCTTTATCCACTCTTGACAAGTGCATACTTTTTCATGTAACAAAGTGTATCAAACATCATTATAACCTTCTTCCTGAGCATTTACCAAGTGGAATTTTTGCTCTCCCTTCTTAATATGACCCTTGCATAAGTACTTGTGCCCTCACATGAAAGCTGAGTGACAAGACTAATCCTAACACATCCCAGCAGTATTATTCAACTGACCCCAAATATTGCTGCTAGAAAACAGGAATGTTACTGTACATGGCCACTGAGCATTCTGTTTCTGAAACGCAATTGAAGAAATCCATCAAGTGCAAAATCTGTTATTATCAAGTACATAGTGACATAGTTTACTTTCAGATTGCAGAAAGACGAGTAGGTGGAATTTTCATAGGGTGTAGCACATTACAGAAACTCCACCTGACACAGGCTTAGTGGTTCTGATCTTTCTTTTCCTTCGTCTATCCATATCAATGTGAAAACCATAATTTTGTCAGCTTCCCATAAGGGCCAACGGCTAAAGGTAAGGCCATTAATGAGGGGAATTTTCTTTTAAGAAATTAAAAAATACAACCAATGTGTTCTTATAATATTATTTATGAAGCACAGGGAGTTTATTTTCCTTAACTAGTTAGTTCCTCTAGGAAACTGGCAAACAGAAGATGGAGTGAAACAATCTACCTTAAAAAATATAATAATTCTTTTTTTCACAAATAATTATTTTTTTCACAATAAGAAAGCATGAAAAACACACTGCCAGAAACTTCATATGCACTAGCTAAATGATAGATATCTTCATTTCAAACATAGTTTGAAACATTGTGCGACAGAACAGGTCACAAAATCACCTGCAACAGCATAAAAAATGAACTCCTAGTCTTGTGCAATTACCAACTTTTCCCAATTCTAACTTTTGTGCTCACAGAAAATTAAATGTGGTATAATTTTAAATCTTATTCATTCTCAACTCTACTACTTTTCATAGCTGAAGTAAGCAAAATGCCTATTTGCAGTAGCATATGGATTTCAGATGTTTTGAATACCACCTCACTGTGCGAGATTTGATTTTCTTTAATAAGAAAATTAACCAAAACCAATATATTTCTCCAAGCTTCTCATAAATTTAAGTTGTGGGGGTTTTGAGGGTTTTTTTTCCACTTATCAGCAACTTTAACTGGTTGCAACATTTTATAGATGCAGTATTGCCCTCATCATACAGAATGATAAAATAAAGCAAATGAGACCAAGTTGCATAGCATCACAGATAATAAATTGCAACTGGTTTTTCAGGTTTCATATTTCCCAGTAGTATCACTTACTATTACAAAATGCTGCCTACAGAGTGGTAATAGGAGATGTAACTTGCAACAGAGCAAAACAAAATGTGCAACACAGTCTGTGGCACAGATTTAGAAGAACAATCTTAAAAAAAAAAAGTTGTCTTTTATACATTCATTATAGGCTTAGAAGGCTGCCATCCATGCTGGAATGAATCATTCTCCTAACGTCTTTGAAAGAGTCTACTCTCTGTTTATCTTTTAACATTCAGGCTGCATGAATCCAACCAGGAACCAAGTAAAGAAGGGAACTGCATGCCTGAGCCTTTGCCATGATATACCACTGGCTCTAAAATGGGTGGTAGATAATATTTGAGCTGTTTCGTGAGCTTCATCAGCACAAAACCAAATCCTACTTATTAATCTTACACTTATTTCAAACTATTATTAAAAGATATCCACCATCCACCCTGTAGAGTCAGACGGTGAGGTTTTAATGTAAGTGTGTCATTAAACAGATCATCTAAATACCTTGTCTGTTTTCTGTTACTCAAGCTGACAAATCAAATGATGTTGGTCAATCACCCTTCATGGTCTCAAAGCACTTGTAACTAGATTTGGACTTTCATACAAATGTTTAAAGAAACAAACTGTTTATTAAGACTTGGAACCATGGATGTATTTGAAAGTTCTGACAAATCACCTTTTATGCAATGTCATAACATATTGCTATTTTTTGAAATAAAGTTACAAGTAGAATAGGGATTTAGAGTCAAGTTCAAAGTGGTTATAAAAACAATGTTCAGAATCTGTACCTCTGCATTAAAATAAAAAAAAATAAAATTTCCATCACATAGCAAAAATGGGGCATAACTTTTATTTAACATAGCCAGCCATTGTGTCAAATCTGCATAGTTATGCCTACCAGAGAACATGCTAACTTTTAAACAAAAAATCTATCGTAATTTAATCTACAACAGCTCTAAAGAAAGAAAATGAACAAGGATAGAGATTAGCATATGGAAAGTTAGCAAAACAGCTGTTCAGTGCAGCAGGGGTTTATGAACCAGAGGAGCACAGCGAATCCAATTTTAGGTCCTCCACTCAGGATCAGGTCGTGATGACAGTCTGATAAATCAGCTGAACTCACATACCACCAATTGCTATCTTTATACCAAGTGAAGATGTCAGATAAAACAGTGGTGCCGAACTTGGCAATGCACCGAAAATCCAAGCATATAAATATATGGCTATTCATCAACACACCAATGTACCAGATTGTGCAATAACAAAAAGAATTAAGCTAAGAAGGAGCTAAAAGTGAAGAGAAATACACTTTAAAAACCTAGTATGGATATGTTTTACGTTTCAGAGAACAGATAAAAATTCACCATCTGCTTCTGGAGCATTCTAGTTCTCCAACCTCAGTTTAATACCCAGATTCTGCCAATGACCCCAAAAACTAAGGCCTGTCATCCTGCCTCCTGACGCTTGCCTCCTGACTTGGCTCACAGAGGATTGTCAGATCATCATCCCAATATGGCTGCCTCAGTAATTACGCTGTACTGAATCCAGGGACAGATCCACTACCCACAAGTCCACAAAAAAACACCCTGAAAACCACAATCCTTTCAGATTCTTGCATCTTTCAGCTGTCTGCGGGACTGTGCCTCCCACCTGAACAAGCAATTATCGCCGCCACCTCATCCGAGCTAAAAAGGTGAAAAAGGACGGCGAAACGCGGCGATATTCGCGACCCACACAGCGGACGAGATTCAGTCACCGAAAAGGAAGGGAAGCGGCCGCACCGCCATAGCTCAGAGCGCCTAAGGGAAAAGGGGAAGGAGCCATCCTAGGGGATGAGCATATGCACTGGGCAGATGCAAACGAGGAAAGGCCGAGCCGGGCC